AAAGTAAAGGGTTGAAGTGGGCAGTGGATATGATGTGATATGAAATTAGTGCTTCTTGCACGGGTTATTGGACAAAATGGAGTATACGAGATTAATCAGGTTTATTTTTTTAATGTAGATAGATGTAGGATGAAACAATTAACAGATAAAATAACAAGAATTTCTTTTATGTAAGGTAAATCCAACAAGGTTACACATCCCCTGTGGCGAACCCGTGCTTCATTATAAGTCCCGCTATCTAGTTTTACAAAGTGTTACACTTTTTATACTAAATTAACGTTAATTTATCGATCCAATTTGTTCGTACACGGTGTAAACTAGTTGCGTTCGCGCATAAACTACTTAGTTGCAATCATTCAGTAATTGACGTTTATTAGAAATGATAACTGAACAGTAATCACTGCCTTTTAAGGAGCAAGTTGATTGTATTTGCATTAACGGTTGAATCGTGTTTTACTTTCTAAACTAGCTGTGGTAAATTACTATATAAATATTAGTTTAGTTGAATTTGTTTATCAGCTTGTCATGTATCCTTGATAAGAAATTGGAATTGTCAAAGGTAATATTTTTTTTAGTTTGTTGTACTTTTGAAGGTTTTGACTGCTGAAACAGCTGTAGTAACAAGGCTTCACAATGCACGTTTATTTGACTCGTCGATCTCTATTATTACTACAGCTTGACTACCCTCTACTGAAAGCTTCAGTAATTAATAGTCAATGCTTTAAGCCAGGCAAAAAAAACCGTGTTGTTTCTTTTTCTCAATTTCTATTGTTGCAATTTGCCGTGAAATCTTTTAAGGCACACAAAAATGATACTCAGTGCTATTGCAATGCCAGTTGTAGAAGAAGAACTTATTAGATATTAGAAGAATTATTTAGATATTGAACAGATTTCCATAATTATTGTTAGGCATATTATTAAATACGATTTTAAACTACCCTCCCAATGCTGAATTAATCCATCCAACTGTGGCTATACTCTAAACTGGTGGTTCAAAAAAATGTTTCAATAGAAACACTTTTGGGAGGAATTAATTTCAAAATGTTTACTTGCACTCATAAATAATCACCATACACAAATTCTCAAAAACGTTAAATAGATAATAGTTTCATAACCGCCGCAAAGAATATCATTTCCCAACATACATTACAATAAACGATTCAACCTTTTCCACAAAAATTAAAAGATAATTGACCGTTTAACACGTATACAGAGGTGTTAAATCAACGTAATTTATGCTAATTATTATTCAGAGACAGTAGGTAATCATAGGCTAGTTGCCAGCCTGCCAAGCTACTGACAAGGGAGAAATGAGGGGGTCAGAGGTGGCTCAACAATGGACTCAGTGCTGCCAACCGACGTAGGTAAATAAGTGATGTTTTATGTGGGGAAACGACGGTAATTGCAGCCTGTGAGGTGGCAGAACTGCTATTGAGTGTCTCTATGGTTAATGCACTCTCCGAGTGATAAATCAGATGGAAAAGTAAGGAAAATGGATCGTTTGGATGAATGGCGATTGAGATTGAGTGGGAAATTGAAATAAGTAATTTAATGAAAGAGGAAATGATGATTTAATATTTATATAGGTGAACCCATTTTTAAGATAGGAAAATTGTGAAGTAGGCTCTGAAAAACTATCGAATGTGATTGATTTATTTAGAAGAGCTACTATGAAGGTCAATTTTGGAGAAATAACACTAGATTTTAACTAAACAGGTCAAATGCTTAAAGTCATGGCACTCTTTAAATCTTCAAGATATTTTACAAGCAAAAATGTTCAATGTTTTCTTAAGACCGTTTTAATGATTAGTCGCAAACTAGCTGTTTCATCCTCATTTTGTTATAATCTTATTACCAAAGTACTATAGTATTTCACGATGTTTGCCTATAATAGAAAGACTATACTGTATTAGCGTTACTTCACTCTCTCGCTCCAACAGTCAAAATTGCATTCTCAATAATCTATTATCAAGATGCTATTAAAAAAAATCCGTAATGCGAGTTAATGGAAGACGCAATCAGCGGGAAAGCTATATCATGTTTGTTCAAACAGTCCAGATTACGTTACATAAAATAATAGGGTATTTTAAAGTAGAATATTACCTGGATAGGCGACACTTCAGCAACTGTATTATTTATACTTTTACGTTAAATAACGCCCACCTCCAACGCGAAGTTTGAAATGCAATAATGGGGCCCAAGCATTATTAGACATTTAAAATGTTGTTTACAATCCCAAACTGACCCATAAGGTAGTTAAGTCCACAAAGGTAATGCAAGCTGTGGCATGTAAGCCCTCTGTATCTAACTTGTTTGATAACAATAAGTCAAGCTGTTAAAGCTAGATTATCCTACGCTCTATATGGAGAGTTAGTAAATCCCTACTTTCACTATTTGTAGTGTTAGGTATCGGCCCGTGTATACTGTCAAGTTTACTATTCTCGTACGACATGTCATGTACGTACATCACTCACACACACTACTCAGGCAGTGTGGGACACATACTGCGTTTAAATCTTTTGTGCGCGACAGTAGTTGGTTACAAAACATACCTGAATGTTGTTTATTGTAAGAATTCATAAGTTCTCACTGATTTTCCCGTAAATCTTGGCATATGTAAAGTTGGTTTGGAGTTTTACACGGTTTTCGCGAAACGCTTCGATCAATGCTATGTAGTATAACGAAGAACTTTGGTCAGTAGGCATCATTAATTGGTACCCCACTGAAAATTGGGTTTTGGGTCCAGGATCATGACACTCATATTTAAGACAAGAAATTAAATTTGGCTATTCAGAAAATTTGTAAGTCATGGTATTGGATATAAAGTAAATCGTAGCTTAAACAATGTTGGTGATGATCTACATCAAGCTGCTTTATCCAGGACCATTTAAATAACCAACTGTTCTATCGACGATTCTTTACGAACTTCACGATAGGTAGCGAGCATTATATCCTTATACCCATCTCAGAATGTCAATAGTGTTCAAATACACGAACTGTTTTATGTTTATGGAAAGAACTATCCATACAAATAATCTACTTGGCACACTGGACAGTGGACGATTCGTTAGCAAATTAGTAAGTGAAACAAAACATTATACTTGTAAGCTTATCCAACTAAAATATCTTAAATCGATTTTGAAGTTTAACACACGTAAGGTAAAGCTGAGAAATAACCAACATTTTGTACCAGCATTCAACCTTAACTATAAGTTACGCCTGGGATTGTAAGAAGGGAATGGTCGTTTCCAATGGGTTTGTAGTTTGTCTACAATAAACTGCCTACGAGTGTGGGACCTTGGATCGTCAAAGAGATCGCGATTAATGGATATAAATTTTCAATTACGGTCAGCCTACAGATCCTTGAAAGATGAAAGTATAGGAAACATGCAAACTATAAATCAACTGGGATACAACAATAGTACTAGAGTATTTCTATTGCGTTACTAACGCTATACCAAGGAAGGGCTAATGGATAAAAGACCTCCACTTTCGTCATGGGAAGTACATTATCGTTTATAACTCTGACATCTGTTCAAATATATCGAGTATGGTATCACCACTGACTGTAGATAGTAGAAGTTGCCTGTGAAATTTAAAATCGAGTATGTGTCATCTTTGCGACGATTTAACGCTGGTGTGACAGAATTTCTTTTCTCTTAAGGGTATATTTTAAGATTTGTTCTTTACTCATTGATACGATAAATACTTAATACTATACGGTAAGTAATGGGTGGTTATAGTTATAATTTTGTTAAAATTGGTTTAAAATTGGCTTAATAACATGACAAAATAATAAACAATTAAAAAAAAAATGCACTACATTCACTGGACTGAACTAATCTTTAATTGTCTGTAGGTGATTAATAAGAATGATAAAAAAATATCTAAAGGAATGTTTCATATACATTGTATCACCATAGATCAAACATATTCCCTTCAACCACCATAAAATACTCGTTATGGTTGTTGAACAAAATCGTGAATATAATAGGATGCTAAATAATAAAAAATCTAATAATAAAATTACTTAAATCATAATTATTTGGCCTTATTTTAGAACAATTATTAAATATACGTGTAAGTTACAACCAATGCGAAAAAAAAAATTATCCAATAAAAATAAATGATTACTCTATTACTTTAATACACTTTGAAAATACATGAATTGCAACCTCAATGTAAAGCCAAAGGCATTAATGAAACCTTTGTACTCTTACCTTTGGAGTCGAAATCACCAAATCCCATTTAACTTTGAGGGCCAGCGAGCACGTATGTAATTAGTGTGGGGACAATTTGGAGGGAAACCGGCCCCTTTGGCGCGAAAAACAGATAACAGCTGATTGTGTGATTCTGTGCCACTGTGTGGCCCGTTGCTTTGTGCGGGGAAAATTGGAAGTGATATAATCTGATGGTTTGAATATGTAGTGTCATTGACTTTGGATACAGAGATATGCTATCTATATCTACCTATCTGAGTCTTTCATGAAAGCACTTTTAAAAGTATTTACCAAACAGAAAACAGTAAACGAAGGATTATCGAAATAAGGGGAAAGGAATGAATATTCCCTCAAAAACATCTGTATAGTGAGTACAGGGATGTAACTAAATATTGACTGGTAATGTCACTTCATTTATGCTCATACTCTGGAAACCTAAGTTCATTTGTTCTCCAGGCTACTATGTATCTAAATTGGTATTGTACCCAATAAATCAGAAAGTCGCCGGTTCCATCCTGTGAAAAATCAGTGACCTTTTGATGATTCGAAACCCCCAGCTGTTATTAATCATTGGACTTGGTTCTAGCTATTGCCGATATCCTAGCAATAAGTGGCCCTTGCTAAATTAACAAGCCAGGAAGATCAACTTTATTCTGCACTCACTCAGCATTTATTTTCCAGATGGAATTTCTAGGATTATCTAATAGTACTTCACTTGGTGAAGCAGTATGTTCCACATTTTCTGATGAAGAGTCTATTTATATTGTATGTTTGTTACAGCTGAACTAGGCGACTACGACCCTCGTAGACATTCGCCTGGTTATGTCTCTGAGTTTCGGTTCCTCTCCAACCAAACGGTGGAACTGGAGACCAAGATAGCTGAACACCATAAGGACCTTCAGTGAGTGATCTTTTGACGTTTATAAATTTGCTATACTTTTGTGTGCTTTAAATTTATACATTTGTGGTTGAATAGTGTATCTGGCGTAAACATTAACCATATTGCCAGAAAGCTTTCCATCCTGTAAGCATGCAAAGAATGATATATTTCACCTAACTGATAAACAAAATCACCGCCATTTCCGAGAAGGTTGTAAACACGCTAGAGGTAAGTGATAACATGTCTTATCACACGCGTGGAAAGGTAAAGTAAACAGGGTGGGGTAGTTGAATATTTTTACTGAGTGGTAACAAATTGGGTTAATCCAAAAATAACTATCTCCTAACCAAATTTGCATCTAATTTGATATTTCAATCCATCAAAACACTACAATAAAACGTACAGAACTAACCAAAAACATTATCTTCAGATTATCTATTAGGATGATAAATCCTTTGATTATTTTTAATACAACTTAGTGTTGCCAATGAACTACCAACTTTCCAAGCCAATTATTTGGTAGTTTTAACACCGGAGGTAGCTTACAAAACCGTTATTATCCGTTAAAATAGATTACAACTTGGGTAAACACGTTGAAATAAATTAACAACAAACAATTTTAACATAAATCTTACAGAAAACATTAAAATTGACTCAAGATGAGCTATTGAGATGATCAATTTTTAAAGGAGGTTGTTCCATTAATATCTACAGTACCTTGTACCTTGATCTACAGTGGATCAAGGTACTCACTAACTCCGCAGCCGATGGATGCTTAGTGGTTCAAATACCAGAAAATAAGCTTCAGCGTACAAACAATAAATTGTGATTTTCGGTAAAAAAAATTTTTTGCGGGTGAAATTATTGTACAATATGCCTTCTACGTGAACCGGGAGGAACTAGTATACTGTCTGTCTTTGGATGGTCCTTAATGAAGTTAAATCTACAAACGAGTATGTTTCTAGTAGCCCATTAACTATCCAGCGCTCCTTGGAGCCATCTGTTGATAATACTGTAGTATCAATGGATAAGCTGCAATGTTACAAAATTATTACATTTGCCAAAAGTAGTTTTAAAGTTGACAAAACAACGAGATATAAATAGGAAATATTGTGTAACTAGTGCGCAAAGTGGCACTTGCTCGTAGTATCCTTAAAATGTTGCCAATTTTTTTTTTCAAGCATTACATGCCTAATACAATCAAACTTTTCTTGTGTTGTATAGTTGAAATACTGGAGTGCGGCAAAGTAAAATGAGTGCGGTAAAGTAAGAAAATGCAGAAATTAGCTACTTTGCGTCCTATAATCAGTGCAAGAAAGCCCACTTTGTCAGGTAACTGTAGGTAAAACAAATGTTCCCCTACATAAAGTGGTAAGAACCGCATACAAATCCGACAATTCTATGGAGCATGTTTTATCCATTGACCCAGTGTCTCCCTGGTGGTCCGCCTACCATCTAATTAGGCATCTCACGCGATCAGCTGGCACAACTCTCTAATTTTGATTTCATCTAATTTATCCTTCACCGTTTGATTAATTGCTGATTTCCGAAACAACTCGTTAGCGCGTTGCTGTAACTCATTTGGAAGGTCGGGAGTTTTTTTGCAAAAACTGAACTGTTGACTTTTTTATGTTAATAGTGCTTGTAAATTTAATTACGTGTGGTCGATGGTTTTTTTTTTAAATCGAAACTTCAAATTTGGAAGCCAGGAATAGGAGTAATACTAGAACAAAGATTTTTTCCACAAAAATGAAAAAAGGTTTAATTTCTAATCTATCTATCTATATATTAATAGGCAAGCATGTTTCTTTAAAACCTTTTTTCTCAGCTCGTGTGCATCGTAGGGAAAATCTACGCATACCGTTGGAAAGCTATTTTCCTGTAGGTGTGCAGAATCCCTTTATAAATTTAAATAGGCTCAAAGATAAGCACAAAAAATGAGTTTAAAAATTTGAAAAAATTAACATGGATCTTATGCGTTGCTATGCTGGTTACGAAATAACAACGAAATATAAACAGAAAATCAAAACAAATGGAGGAAACTCCAATCACATGTTTTATTTACAGTGTGGGGTGAAAATAGATAAGTGAGTACATTACATATTTTTGGTCGAGTTTCGACCACTGGACGACCTCTCGTACTTATTTAATACGCAAGCAGAAATTTTGTGACAATTACTCCTCCGAAACTACTGAACCGATTGACATGTTTTTGGTGTCATTGGAAAGAGCGTAACGTGAAGTTGTGCAGGAAACTTCTTTTTTAGGCAAATAATTAGAGAGTGAGGCCCTGGGACCCTTTAAATTTTTGTATTTCTCCATAAGATTAACATGGGAAACAAACATTGTTTTGAAACTCCAGCTGTTGTTAGAAATGGAATATTAATAATTGGTCTCCATGGAAACATGAGAAAATTCACAATGTTTACATTTGCTTTGACATTTAAATGTAAACAACCAGAACTGTCAAATAATGCCTATTTCACAATTTCAGACAGCTGATAAAAAAATAAAACAACTATGTGGTAGGTTTATTCAATCTTAAACTTTATGATAGATTATTATTTATTATAAATCTATTTCATTGATTATGAAACAGATCTTTCCCGTTGCGAAGCAAAAATTAAAAGTGAGAAGAAGAACATATGTTAATTGTAAACAGTCAATGTGTAAATTATCTATGTTGTATTAAAAATGTGTATAGTTTTGGATGTTGGTTTGCGTTTAATGATATAAGTTATTAATTATTGAATTTTTATTTTAAGGATTTGGCATATGAGTATGCCTATGATAAATAACACCATTTCAGAGTTCTGCCAGTTTTTGCTTCTAACTCTGTTCTGTAGAGTTTAAAGTAGCCTACACCTTATTGTCTAAAAATTGGCTAAATAACTTAGATACGGTACATTATAAAAGCTGACGGCCTTTTTACGTTTACGTAAATTGTACGCTTACCTTTTCCCGTCCATGTGCAGTTTGATAGTTAAAAATTAACCCTTTAAACTGGAATAGGACTGTTATGTAAATTGTGAGTATTTCCATCTTTTAGTCGACTCTTTCAAAATCATCGGAAATTATGATTGTTATTAATTTTTTAAACAAGTCATTTGTTTATAAATAACTCCTGTACATCTTTGCAATTATTGCTCGATTTCGAGCAACATGTACACTAGTCATTGAAATTTTCCTAAACATGTACTACTATTTATTAATATATTTTAAGCAAATATTATGCTACAAATTGATCCTGGATTATGTGAAAGTAAATAATTCACATGTTTATAAAAGATGGACTAAACTAAAATATACCTCGTCTTGCAGTTTAAATAGTGTGTTTTAATCCACTATGTATGTTTCGCCATATCTGGCATTTTCAAGTGTCCTGACGAGTCCAATTCTGATATTATAATGTTTCTGTATACCACTTGAACATTCCAAATATGGTGAAACATGTACACTAAAAAGATACATTGATACATTTGATTAGTGATAAAATACTCTATTTGAACTGCAAGATGAAGTTTGTAAGTTTATTCTATTCTAAGCAGTCCAGGGGCTACAGAATGGAGTTAATATAAAAAGTAATGTAAAAGTGTATGAAATTCTTCGTTTTTGAATTATATTGGCAAAAATGTCTGTTATCTAAAGTTAAAAATTAACTCTCTTTTTTAGGCTTTCCGATTTGCCTTAATTTTATCACAAACATTGTACTTATTTAAAATCATTAAGGAAAACTTCAGATTGTTTAGACTCCCAAAAATGTGTTTAGCTTTATTTTCAAACTTTAAAATATATTATTTTACCTATTTCAGAGGCCAACTTCCCTCCGTCGCCGAGCTCAACTACCTAGACAAGGTGAAATGGTTGGAGATGTACGGGGTCGACCTTCATCCTGTGTTGGTGAGTTAGCAAATTTAAATAATTTTAAATTTCTTAGAAAAGTATAAGTTTCTGTCATTTCTCTACAATGCCGTATTGCGTATTCGAATGTGGTTTTACCCGTAGTAATGATGGTTATCTGTGTTTCCCTTGTCTGTGTCTGTATGCAACTGAAAACCAAACACTCGCTGTTAAACTCGTATGATGCAACATTAACGTCCCAAAAACGCGTGCATTGACTAAATTATGCTACTGGACATTTTATCAAAACATAACGTTTTTTAATAGCCAGCACGCAAGAAAGTAACTGGTACATTACTGAGAAGCCATTGACGTATCACTTATTTAGTGTACATCTTTGCAATTATTGCTCGATTTCGAGCAACATGTACACTAGTCATTGAAATTTTCCTAAACATGTACTACTATTTATTAATATATTTTAAGCAAATCTTATGCTACAAATTGATCCTGGATTATGTGAAAGTAAATAATTCACATGTTTATAAAACATGTAAAGCAACATGTAAGTTGATGGAGCATGTAAAGACACCGAATTTATAATGATATAAACGTTGTCGAATAGAACCACTGTAAGTATTATTCCTTCGTTAATTACAGAACAGATTTGAATACTTCGGCTATTTAACCAAGTAAAACTTGGACGAAAGTTTATTTACTGCATGCTGTAATAAAATGTACATATCGTTCATTAAGTTTCAAAAACTGAATGAGTACGCGAATTTTTATTGTAGGGCACTCCTTCGGTGGTGCAATTAACTATGTTCTGTTTTTGAAAACAGCTGATTGATATTGTAGTTTGCCAAACTGAACTATATACATGAAAATCAGTCTGTACTTTCATGTAGTTTGACTGTGCTTTTAAGATATGTAACATTAACATCATAAGCTACTTGAAGAGTTTGAGATCGGGTGCAATTAACCCCTACTCTACGTTTTATGTTCAAATTATTATAACTATTTTTTTTATTAGAAAATACATATTTGTATTATTACAAGATGGTTACTAAATAAGCCGCGTCAAAATTAAATTTGTCTAAAATATCACTGTAGTGGCAAACTAATAACTCTTTACTCAATGGATTCTTTGATTTAATTATGTCCATTTACATCATGTTTCTCATAGTTCTACCAGATTAGAATAACCTGGTAATACTAGATGGAATAATGTGTTTTAAAATTCCCCACTAAACTCCCTTATAATCTTGTACATGAAGTGATAATAATTTCTGAAATTTGGAGATGATGAAATACATCAAGCGAGTAATAATAAAGTGACATCGCAGTTCGCCCATCACTGTTTATTTACTAATTAACTTTCATCAAGCTAAAATCTCTCAAGTTTCGTGTCAACACATAACGAGTGTTTCGTGTTGCGTGTTCAACATGTTTCAACCTGTTGAAAGTTGCGTGATGTTTCACATATAAACACTCTTTGCTCCTCCCATCCTCTTCCTCTTTGAGAACATTTTCAAAGGTTATTTCTTCCAGTTTGTTTTCCCCGTTGTTATCTTTGTTTGATGTAATATTTTGAATTGTTTTCGCTCTGTTGGCAGGGCTGGCAACTGAAATTGAAATAAACAGAGTAGTTAATTTGGTCAGAGGGGTAAAATTATTTAAATGTGCATACTTTCGTGCGTTATGGTGTTTAAATTGATTGCATTCAGCTATTAAAAAATATACATACAATGAAATTTAAATCACTTAAAAAAAACCTTTAAGGTATTTTAAACCTTTTTAAGAATTCAACACTTCGATAGTTATTGGTAAATTATAAGTTATTGTAAGGCGTTTAGTAGAGAGAACTCCCCAATAAAGATAATTTCTCTTGGCCTAAAACCAAAAGTTTCTCTTTTTAAAATATTTATTTTATGAGTTATTTTCATAAACGAAAAATATAGATTTCCACATTGAGTAGTATAAGAGTAATATATTACCGAAAGGATTATTAAAATATTGTGATAAAAACTATTTTTAACTGTTTAAAATCTGGTAAAATAAACATTAAAAAATGGGGTTTTGAGTCATTAATATTTTCTTAAATTATATTGCCTTTTATGTCCAAATTGAAATGTATGTTTCGGAATGTATCTGCAACGTTACCTAGCCAAGTTTTAATGTGCGCGATTGATACACAATAAAATTAGAAATACGATTTTAACAGTTTTGTGTTTTATTACAAACTTCTAAAGAGATTTACCAATTACAAGGAGCTAAGTGGCAGTTATATCTTTCTCATTTCCAAAACTATTTCCCAACATGAGTAGAAAACATGTTTAACGCATTTAAAAAAGTAAACTCAAATATAAATTTCGTGCAAAAGTACACCAAACGCATTAAAGATGTATATTAATTACAAAGTATTACAAATCCATGTTGTCAAGTGTATAGGGGAAAGCCAAGATCCATTTACTTTATAATGTAATGTCTACAAAATAGTTTGCTATATTTTCACATCGCCACAAATACTGTATCGAGAAATAGAAATCCACTTGTGGAGTAAACACAGTGCTTAGTAACTGTCGTGGACAGGCCACAACAAATCCCGCCAACTAACTTTGTCCGGCCTAAACTGTCCAACTCGGGTTAATTCAATCACTTTGTTGGGGAAAAGTTGGTTACAGCTCAAATAATATAGGATTGTTACAGTTAAAATCTCTTAAAGGTGTATTTTTGTGTTTAAGCTAGTGACGTTATGCTTTGATGAATGCTCGTGTTTCTTGTAGTCTTTAAAACCTCTCAAATGTTTTGGATAAGACGGGAACTGAACCTGCGCTCTCAAACTGGAGTCCGAGATGCTAACCAGGCTAGAAACACATACAATATGTCTTTTATTCTGATGATAAAGTTGCAAAATACCGGATGGTATAAGATCATTGTAAATTTAATCCCAAAGATCGGTTAAATCACAAAATACTTTAATAGAAAACAATTTAACCCCTTGATATCTGTCTTGAGATCTGTGTGGACTATAGAGTTTCGAATTCGTCACAAAGTCCATGATGATAGATTGTTTTCTTCTGTTTTATAGAATAAATGGTATAGAAAATAATTGTTACTCACAAACTTTACCTTGTCCGTTTAATACCCTAGAAGGTCTAGAACAAAGACAGAGAAAAATTGCACTCCTCGCGATTTCAAGAGAAAAATAGTCTCGGAAATGGGCTGTGGTCACTTCTCAACCCATTTCCTACGCCCATTGTTGTGGTTGAAGTTGTATGTGTGTGGGTGTTTGCGGTACAAACCCATTAATGCAGTTGTAACGTCGTGATATGACTTATGACTGTACATAGGAAATGGTAAGAAGTAAGGATAGAGCAGAGGTAAATGTTTGAATATTCAGTAAGAAACATTTTGGAGTTTTAAAATATAGGTTAAATATATAAATATAATATACTGTAGTTGGTATGCCAGTGGTTTAAGTTACCCGGTAATTGAAAGGTTGTCGGTTTTATTCTAAAAAAGAAATACTGGATCCAGTTTCCCTTGTCCATTAATAAATCTTTTAAACATATTTTAAATGGTCTTTTAATAAATGGTATGTACTGACTAGTCTTAAAACATTTAACAACTGGTCTTAGTTACTGAAACGGATATTGGGATAATCTGACTCGATTCTACTATTTACATCCAGCTTGACATGGCATTGAAGGCGATGTACTTTTCTTTGTCAGTTAATTGATAATCTTCAATGGTCTAAATCAAAATTTTAGTGGAATATTTCAAAACTATTATTTCTGATCTAATCGTTTATTATTCATCCATGTGAAAGATTATCACCCTATTCAGGGTCTGAAATCCCTTTAGAAAATTTTACCGAAATTCTTTTTCCCGAAATGAGTTTAATTTACCTTGGAACTGTAAAAATAGATAACTAGTATATAATGCTAAAACGCAATTAAATATATTCGAGTGTTCATACTATTTTATTCACAAGAAGTCAAAATGATGGGATCCAAATTTAACATAAAGGTTTTTAATTTAACGTATTTCTATGTATTCTAGAAGTATTTTTCCACAACCTCATTTTATTGAAATTACTGTTTACGTTTTCCTTCAATTGCATATAGGTACGAATTTCAACCAAACCAATTCAATGAAGTATTATCTTACATTTGAAGATCAAACGTATAAACCAGGTCAAAGAATATTTTTACATTGTGCATGTATGCGACGCGGAAAAAAATAAAGACCACTTGAAACTCAAGTACTCAATTACCAAAACCTACGACGTACGCATCCACTTTCATATTTCATCTTTGTTAATACGCTAGCTGCGTCTAAAGAAAAACACAAGTTACATAGGCCCTTCGTTTTGATATTGTAGCCAAGATTCACAACAATAATTGTATTACTATTTGGGTGAAATTAAGAGACGTTATGGTGTTTATATATTATTATTATTATTATTTTGATGTATTTGGGTATAGTGCATAAAAATACCCAAAACAGCCCCAGCGGTACCTGTGGTATAGTGTTTTTTTGTATATTTTTGACGAAATTAAAATATATGAGTACGCACAGCCTTCAGTCGTATGATTTAACAATTACTTTTGTATACTACGGATATATAAAATGTGGTATAGTTAGTAGTATTTTTTTCATTTTAGTATAGCTCAGTGGTTATAATGCTCGCCCAGTGATCAAAAGGTCGTCAGTTTGATCAAAAAGGTATGTAGGTTTTTGATTGTTCTACTAGACCCAGCAGTGTTTGATCATTGGGGTTTTTAATGAATGGTCTTGGCTAATTAAACAGCTGATCTTAGTCTGTAAAAAGCTACACAAGGCATCTCACTCCATTACAAACTCACCCCTTCACTCATACTAAGTTGACTCTTGAGGTTGTCGTATGATTAACCTATGTAATTATCAGTTGAATTTGTATCAATGTCCAAGGTTAAGGCCGTTATCAAGACACGCGAAAACGTGTGATAAGGAACTGACACGTGCGTCTTATCATAGACTATATATATGCTACCTAACCTTAATAAAAAGAAAAC